TCCGAGAGGTATTCCAAGCGTTGCATATACTGCGCAGCAGACTGAGTTGAACAAAGGGAGCAATGTGCTGGCCGACCACTTTTAGCCGAGAGAAACACAGATGGGCTTCGTGAGCCCCTACTTGCCCAGCTTCAGGAAACCTCGAAGCCCAATACTGAAGACGCCTCAGGATAAGCTCAGGAAAAGGGGCCAGGGGTTGGTGGGCGAGCACAAGCTTGGTCATTTTCTTCTGAAGCCCGTGCTCGAAGACGGTGGGGGCTGACGGGATCCGGGATAACTCACGATAGTTCTTGTTCATCATTAATACGAAAGACTTGGTATAAACGGGATGAAGATGAGCGTCCAGATGGCATTCGGGGTCCTCGAACGCGTCCTCGATTTTCTCAATGCAGGCGAAAAAGACGGAAGAGGCGAGGGTAGCACGATAGGCTGCGGCACGAGCTTCGTGTGTGAGAGGCCTGGCCCGAGATAGTTTCCCCCCAAGAGACTTCATTCCCACCAGCATCTGATCAGACAAGGCGTGCCGTGGAGCACATGTAAGCGACTGCAGTCCGAGATGCACCTGCCAACTGCACTCGGCCGTGGGCGGAAAGAACTGGGCAATGAACATGAGTACCGTGACTGCGATCTGGTTGTACGCCACGAGAGACATCGACAGGCCTAACTTCAAAGACTTAATGAAGCGGCATCGGTCGCGGAACTTGACAAGTGGGGCGGCCCAAGACTCTTCCTGGGCCCTGATCCCGCACATCACTCCGAGATACTTGGCACACTTAGACATCCCGAAGCTCCGAACTCTGATCCCCTGCCGTTGGAACTTCCTCTCCTCCTCCTCCCGGTTAAAGTCGCGGTAAAATAATATCACCGTTTTTTTTAGGTTCGGAACGAGGCCCGCGGCGAGCCCTGCAAGCATTATAATTTTCATGAAAATGGGCACGGCCGTGTAGATATCAAAGGCGGCGGAGGCGACATCGTCGGCGAAGGCACCGTGCAGATGGACAGGTCGGGGCAGCCGAAGACAGAGCAAGCGTAATATCGGGTCGAACCCCAGGGCGAACACACTTCCCGAGAGTGGACATCCTTGCTTTATCCCGCGGAGGATACGACAAGAGCAGCGAGACACCCCGCCCAGGAGAATGGTGGTGGTAACCTTGGCGTAGAGCGTCTTTATTGCATTCAGTGCAAACTCGGGAAAGTTCATTTTCTCGAACACGAAAAATGTCCAATCATGGCATAAACTTGGGAAAGCGGCCTTAATGTCCAACAAGATAGCGCCTGCAGTCTGTCGCCACAAAAGGCCTGCTCCTACGACCATGTGTGTCTCGAACTCAATCAGATTGTCAAGCATGTTACGGTGTTTGACGAAGCCCCTTTGGATACCAATAGTGGTGTCCACGCAAACCTCCTTCAGGCGGCAGTTGATCGCGACAGCGACAATTTTGTTGATCGAGTTGGAGAGGGAGATGGGACGGGTCATTTCAGGGGTCCTCCAGAGCTCGTAACCGTCGCGGTCCAGGGAACCTTTGGGGAGGAAGACCGAGTTGCTGAGGTTGAAATCGTCTGAAACCTGGCCGAAATCCATGATATGCTGGTACGGTAGGTTCGCGGGGCGTCGGCGCGCGCAAAGGTTTCTGACACCGCGTCGATCGTTCAACCTTGAATCGATCGCGGCCCCGATCGTTGAAAGTGACTAGGTAGGTTCGCGGGGCGTCGGCGCGCGTAAAGGTTTCTGACACCGCGTCGATCGTTCAACCTCGAGTCAACCGCGGCCCCGATCGTTCGAGGTTGAGTTCAGTCGGGTCCGATGGCGTCACCGTGTCCCTCGGTGTTTCCCCGTCTCAGAATTAAACCTTGAACGCCTTCGCTGGCGTCACCGGCGCGCCAACGCCGCACGAACCTACAGTACATGGCGTAGGCGGCCCACCTAACAAATAAGTTCCCTTTGGACCAGTAACATAGCCCGTCAGGGCCAGGGGCGGAATCGTGGAGCCGATCCAAAACTCCGTAAAACTGTTCTTCAGAGAGCCTCCAAATCTGAGCCTCCCTCACTTTTTGAATATGTTCCTCCAGCTGGTCAAGGAGGAGGAGGAGGAGGAGGAGGAGGAGGAGGAGGAGGAGGACGGGGGCCCGAGGGCTCGGGGCAGAGCGCGCGCGTCCGCCGAGACGAACACACGGCGGCGGCAGGCGGGGCGCCTGCAGTCATCAGAGGAGGACAACGAAGAGGCCGCGCACGCCCAGGGCCAGGACGCCCAGCACCACGCAGTGCGCAGAGCCCACGCCGTCGGCGAAACAGTAGGCGTGGGCGCAGTGCAGGCGCACGAACCCGCCACCGAAGAAGAAGGCGCCACTGCCGCAGACGACCCACAGCAAAACATGGCGACAGCTGCCCGAGGCGTTCCCCGATCTGGGGCTTCCTCGGGACTTACAGCAAAATAATGGCGACCCGAGCCCGAGGTGTTCCCAGAAACGGGACTTCCTCGGGACTTGCGATCTAGCAGGCCTCCCAATCCAGGCCAAAGTCCCAAGTAACTTGGATGAAATCAGCAAGGCCGCACGCGACTCGAGCTCCGTCACCTCCATCGACTGGGCAAGCAAAAAACTGGTACAAGTCTGCAATGTAGACTGCGCCACCGTGCCGCAAGCCAACATAGCACCAGGTAACTTGAACGAAATCCGCCAGACCGCACGCGACACAAGCGCCTTCACCTCCATCAACTGGGCCAGCCAGGATTTACACAACACCCACCAGATAATACCACTGCACACTATAGCGGCTGGTTGGATTTGGGATGCCTCGCTGCCGACAGCCGCCTGAGGCGCCCCTGCAGTATGGAGGCACAAGTTGAGGCCTCACCTTCACCACTGGGGAATCCCACACACGGCGAGCGCATGGCCTGCGACGGGCCCGTAGACTCCCAAACCACACCACGCTCGCGAAAAAATGCTGGAGCATTCCAAGAGGGCCCCAAGTCGGCCCAGAGAGACCCCCCAAACGGCTTCCGACGGCGTCAGACGGGCCAGGAGCCCACCAAGACGGCCGAAGATGGCCTTAAGATGGCCCAAGAGGCGGCCAGAAGAGGCCAAAAATCACGTATTCCCATTTGGTTTTTGTCCCAACCATCCTGTGGTGTTGGGTCCTCGTTTTGAAGAGACGTCGCCCCGCGTTCCTTCCTGCATTCCTTCCTTCCCGCTGCCCCCTCCCTCCTCCCTCCTCGATTTCGGCACACCCCTCACACGTTTCGTGGCCCACACGGAGCTCCACCGAAGGCCCCAGTGCTGCCGCCCGCATGCGTCCCGCACACCCATTTCGGCACACCCCTCACACGTTTCGTGGCCCCACACGGGGCTCCACCGAAGGCCCCAGTGCTGCCGCCCGCATGCGTCCCGCACATCCATGTCATCACACCCTTCACACGTTTCGTGGCCCCATAGGGAGCTCCACCGAAGGTCCCAGTGGGTGTGCCCGCATGCGTCCCGCACACGTTTCGTGGCCCCATAGGGAGCTCCACCGACGGCCCCAGTGCTGCCGCCCGCATGCGTCCCGCACACCCAATTCGGCACACTCCTCACACGCTTCGTGGCCCCATAGGGAGCTCCACCGACGGCCCCAGTGCTGCCGCCCGCATGCGTCCCGCACACCCAATTCGGCACACCCCTCACACGTTTCGTGGCCCCATACGGAGCTCCACCGAAGACCCCAGTGCTGCCGCCCGCATGCGTCCCGCACACCCAATTAGGCACACCCCTCACACGTTTCGTGGCCCCATACGGAGCTCCACCGAATGCCCCAGTGCTGCCGCCCGCATGCGTCCCTCACATCCATTTCGGCACACTCCTCACACGCTTCGTGGCCCCATAGAGCTCCACCGAAGGCCCCAGTGCTGCCGCCCGTATGCGTCCCGCACACCCAATTCGGCACACCCCTCACACGCTTCGTGGCCCCATAGGGAGCTCCACCGAAGGTCCCAGTGCTGCCGCTCGCATGCGTCCCGCACACCCAATTCGGCACACCCCTCACACGTTTCGTGGCCCCATTGGGAGCTCCACAGAAGGCCCCAGTGGCGGCGCTCACATGCGCATGCGTCCCGCACACCCATTTCGGCAC